AAGAGCTCCAGGCATTTCTTCACCAGGTTCTTGCGGATGACTTTCAAGATCTTGCTCTGCTGCAGCATCTCTCTGGAGATGTTGAGGGGCAGATCTTCAGAGTCCACCACACCCTTGATGAAATCTGAAAAAAAAAAAAGGAATGTTAAATACCAAAACCTTAAAATAATGGGTGCACTGGCATACTGCTAGTGAGATTTAAGGTTAATGTCACCACAAAGGTACTATACAACAAATTCAAAATGGTACAATGGGCATCAAGGCCTATTCAAAAGAGAACTTTCACCTTCTTTCAGATCTCCCAATACAAGCCTTTTGTTTAGAAGGCCATACTATTTATCTTCTCATCAACCATCAGAGTTGTCAAATAGTCTGGAACACTAACAGTATTTAAAGACTGTTCACGGCTCAATCTACTTTAGACCAACTTCGAAGGTTACTTACTGAGATACTCTGGGATCAGCTCATCACAGTTATCCATGATGAAGACTCTGCGCACATACAGCTTGATGTTGTTCTTTTTCTTCTTGTTCTCAAACAAGTCAAAAGGTGCACGTCTTGGCACAAACAGCAATGCCCTGAACTCAAGCTGTCCTTCCACCGAGAAATGCTGGCAGAGAAAAAGGAAAAGAAGTAAATGACTTCTTTTGAATCGTTAACATCATATGTGGGTATAAAACTGAAGTCGGAGTCAAACTTTGCACTTTTGAGCTGATTTATCAAGACTCACCTTCACAGCCAGGTGGTCCTCCCAGTCATTGGTGAGGCTCTTATAGAACTCGCCGTACTCCTCTGTTGTGATGTCATCAGGGTTGCGGGTCCAGATGGGCTTGGTCTTGTTCAGTTCCTCCTGATCAATGTACTTCTCCTTTATCTTCTTCTTCTTTTTCTTGTCAGTGGACTTCTTCTCATCCTCCTCCTCATCGGAGCCCACATCCTCAATCTCAGGCTTGTCCTCCTCACTCTTCTCCTCTTTCTCCTCCTTGTCCTTCTCCTCTTCAGCCTCGTCGTCACTCACTTCCTTGTCACGCTCTTTCTCAACCTACACAGAGGGTAACAACTCTTAGACTTGTACACTTTACGATTCCTACTTAAACAATTACATGAAGCTACAAAAGTCACAACCCATTAGGAATACTTACAAACAGTGTAATGGGGTATCCAATGAACTGGGAATGTTTCTTCACAATTTCTTTGACCCTCCGCTCCTCCAGGTATTCAGTCTGGTCTTCCTTCAGGTGCAGAATCACCTTTGTACCACGGCCCAGTGGCTCACCTAATGGAATAAAGTACACAGACATCAGTTACACTGAACAGATGCTTTTATGTTAAAGTGTATTTCAATGAAGCAAGCAACATTCTGTCTTCTTACTTGCATCCACCTTGACTGTGAAGGAGCCACCGGCTGAGGACTCCCAGGCGTACTGCTCGTCATCGTTGTGCTTGGTGATGACAGTCACTTTCTCTGCCACCAGGTAGGCAGAGTAGAAACCCACACCGAACTGGCCAATCATG